CTCCCCGCCGCTCCGGGGCGGGCGGCGAGTCCCGGGCCGTGCCCCGAGGCACCTGCCCTGCTCCTCCCGCGGGAGGGATTTGGGGTCACTGGCTTGTAGCTCGCTTCTGAAAAAAAACTCCTTTCCTCCTTCCCCTGTCGGGCTCTTTATTCAAATGGTGTTTTTACCGGATGTTTTAAGAAGATCGTTAATCTGTAGTTCTCGGTTTATTTATACGTATATATGCATATGGATATCGAGGATGAAGTGACATAAATCTTCCCTGGAAAAACCTGGCACTCTATTTTGCTGAGGTTCCAGCCTGTGAAAAACATAGCTGGTGGACGCTACCTGTCTTTTGCAGTTGAATATTTTGCATTAACCTAATACTAAAATGTGCTATTTTCCACCAGATTAGTACTTACAGTTTGATTCCCCAGAACATCTTGACTTGAAGATTCCTCCCCCAACTAATAAACACTTTGGATAGATAATGAAATTTAGTCTAACACATGGTTGCTGCTTAAAAAAAAAAAAGTCCTGAAATAAAATTGTCCTACTGCTTTTTCATGTATATAACTGTCCATTAAATGGCCACTTGAAAGCCTCTCCAGATTACCACTGTACTCGGCGCAGAGAATGTTTTTCAACTATGAAATGTGCATACTCTTTTTGGATTGGATCCTACTTTTCTTAATTGTGTTGAGAAGTCCCATTAGTTTAGCTGGAGCTGTTTAAAGTGAGTAAGAACAACAGAATCTGCCCCTGTATGTTTTGCAAGTTCCTTCAACTCTAAATGGGTTTGGCACTTACGCCATGTATGTATCCAGTTAAATTTGCCTTAAGCAGCAAGAGAGGAAAATCAGCTTTTTGACTTTGAAGTGGGGTTTAAAAACCAGAACAGTGATCACAATTTTGGGCCATTTCCCAACCTTAGCTGAAAAGACCACCTCAAACTAGAGGACATGTTTTGGCTGGTTTCACTGACGGTAACATGTCTGTGGTGGTGCTGCCTGAATTTGGAGTTTGCATAGAAGTGATCTGAGAAATGAAGGGAAAGTGGAATCTGGCTCAAAACTTTACTGTGCCCAAACTCTCACCACAAAGAGTGGAGTGGTAATCTGGAAAGGCTTTTAAGTGGCTGCTTAATGTCAGGTTGCCTCTTTAGTTAAGGTTTCACTATGTTTAAAATAAATTATAGTGGTAGAACTGACCAAACAAGATATTTTAATGAACCAAATGAAAGTCTGACAGCATCTGATATGAAGAAGATCAGTTCTACCTGGTGTGAAACTTATAAAAGTAATGGTATTAAGCTGTTACTCTTTTGTACCTTCAATTGGCCTGGACTCTTTTGTGTAAGCATGCACAAGAATGTGATTTCCGGCTTTGAAACTCTAGAACTCCATTGATAATTGGTAGAAGGTCTTTTACCTTTTCAAGGTCGGAGTCTCTGTGCATGGGGTACTTTTTACATCACATTTTTCAAAACGCTCCTTGAAATGAAAGTACTTTCTGTCTGTTGCATGCTCTGGCTGGTCTGGGAATGTCTGGTTTACTCCATCTGTCAGGACCATTCCATAAAATCCCTGTCCCAACTCTATTCTTATGTGCCCAGTAGGCTCCAAGGGAATGGAATTTGCAAACTTAGTACGTATGGTAGATATTTTACTAAAATACATTCTTTGCTAAAAGGGCCTCACAACTGGGACAGAAGAGCAGACTTTCAATTGACCTTTTCCTTCCCACATTGCTGTTATCTCACTGTGTAGTGTATGGAGAGGTGGGATAGTATGAAAAAGCACAGAATTACTGTTTCTCATGGAAGAAGATGAAATCCTAAGCTAGTATAAAATAACAGCTTAACTTATTTTCATGTATAGGCTTGAGCCATATCAGTAATCCTTTTTCCAATTCCTCAAGAGTGTTAAAGATTGGGTAAGAGAAGGTGTTGACCTGCATAAATATTTCAGTTGTAAAAGCAAAAGAAATAAGATATAAACTACTGTGCTCTTATTTTATAGTTTTCAGTGGCATGTTGAAAGGTATCAATGTAAGCTTAATTATGGGTCAGTCTCAGTCTAACTTGAGATTCCTTTGTGATGAAGATGAGAGTAGAAAAACATTGTACTTTTGAAAGCATCTTACGAAGTCTTTTAACCCTAGAGATACGTCATCTTCATTTTGCAAATATAGAAACTGAATTAAAGGTGTTGCGTACTTGTCCTTATCGGGTGAAAGGGTATGGTAGGGGCTTAAGGAGAATTCAGAAATGCCTGGTAAATAACACCAAGTCTAAACAAATCATACCTGAGCACATAAACCAGACCTAACAGTTAAAATTATGATCCCAGATTTGTACTCATAATTTTCCTCTAATTGTAGGTACTCTAATACTTCTGGATGTGAATATTGTTACGATGTGAACATCACATGGGTTTTACAGTTGTAGATGTCCAGAATTAGCACACCTTGAACAGCTAGGTGTGTGTCTACTCTTTAAATCTGATTTGATATGTAGAAAGTAAATTTGATCTATTTAATTAGAGAGCCAGGAGCTAACTAGTGTGCATAGACAAAATGCATCTTTTTTACTGCTGCTTTCTTCTCCTACAGAATAAAACCCAAGTGGTATTGCTGTCTATTTCTAGACTAAGTACTTTTTACCTTGTCACTAATAGTCTTACTGTTAACTTATTGCACTGGAGGTGTGAATCTTCTAATTCAATTTGCATGATAATAGGATCGGTTTATAAGAGTTTACTAGTCCCAAACCTTTAAATTTTGTCTTATGATGCTATTCTCGATGAGGATTTTTCAAACCTTTTCATAGAGCAGATTATTTTAATAGAAACCTGTCTCTTTCCCGGGAAGACTTGTAATATCTCTGTAGCAACTACAACACTTCTTTATGTGAAGAAGGAAAGCTATGAGGATTCCTTACCTTCTTCTAACGCGACTTTGTAAATAATCAAATGCCAGTTCTTTGCACGTGTGGGTGTTAGTGATGGCTCATAACATGTGACTCTTGTATGCACCTACTGCTAGAAAATATTGTGATAACACAAAGTACCCTGTACTTTATGGATGAAGGATTAAGGAGTCAGGAGCTATATTGGGAGTTTTTTCTTTCCTTGTCCACTTTTCCAGTTGCTCAGGCTGAGAGCTAACCTGTCCGTGGAGGGATTTGCCTCCAGGTGAAAACACACACAAAATGTTCTGGGATTCCCTGTCCCAGTTGCCTGGGATAAGTGGCCTTCTGTGCCAATCCAGCTCTTTCCTCTTGTGCAGACGTTACTTTTTGAGGGAAATCTGTATGTGAGAAAGAAAAATGGAAAACTTCCTCTTAGGGTAAACCCTATGGTGGCACAAAGTGACTCAGAAAAGCAAGAGATTATAAAGGAAACTCAAAGTCTCTCTTACGAGCACTGTAGTGCAGCAACTGAGGTAGAAAACCAGGTAACTGTATAGTGAGGTATGAACTGAGAGAGAGATGGTGTGAGAGCTTGCAATTTTATGATCTCCTTACACAGATTTTCACATACAGGGATTTTTATATTTAAAAGAATAATGTACAGCAATACTTTTCTCTATATTTGTATCTTCTGTTTTTCATACTTATTTCAAACACTCTCAATAAATCCTTTGAGTATGTGTAAGCCCCAAATTCACTTCAGCATCCCACACATAGTCTGTGATGTTTTCAAGGAAAGAAATTAATCACTGTATGTTTTAAACTGCTTAGGAGCCTTCCCTTTTTTCATTGCCTAAAGTAAGTCTCCAAAAATACTTCCAAAGGGTAGATCTGTAGTTCCTTTGAAGTCAATGGCAGTTTACTCCAATTGAGGATCCATGCCAAGAGTGCATTTTAAACATACCTGGTCCATTTGCATCCACTTTAAAATTCATTTGGACTGTTCTGGCAGGCACAGTTTGTGAATGAGAATTGGGTCTGGTGTTAGGCATATAATATGCTCTATGCCATGATTGGTTTAGGCTAAATTAAGCTCATGCCTCAAGCAAATTTTCCCCCAAGCGCTTGGTTTGTATTGGTTTTAGCCTGTGGTTGCAGAATGGGTAAGATAGTTTCCAGTTGGATCTATGAACTAATCTAGGGTGTGTGGGTTGTTGTGGTGGCTTTTTTTTGTGTTGTTGGGTGTTTTGGGTTTGTTTTTTTTTCCCCAAAACTAGTCTTCAGATGGATCAGGAAGCTCCTGCAGATTTGATAATTGTTAGGTGCAGCCCAAGGATGGAGTTAGCAGGGACCTTACAGTAACAGAACGTGATCGCAGTTTGGCATTAGGAAATCCTGAAAGATAATTGTTTCAGAATTGAAATTGTATCAGTTTAGCACTCTTCACAAAAAATAAGGAGTCCACTCAAATTGTGTCTTTTATCTGTCTAGGTTTAAAAACAACTGGAATAAATCTGCAAGTGAAATATATCCTACTTTTGCTTGCAGTATAAGGTGATAATTCAGAATGGTGTTGGTGATGATACATAGGCAGATACCCTATGATGTGTGTATTGGTAAGTAGGAAGAAAATTCCAAGGAGATTGCTCAGATCACTGCAGTTTGGCTATTGAACTGAACTAAAATCTTTATTTAAGGATTATGGACAAGTGGGAAACCAAAGCACACTCCTACCCAGAAAGTCCATTCACCAGCAGCTGAATTTTAACGTGAGACTGCAGTGAGGTTTTGCAGTTGCTGTTATTTTTGTCTGTTCTTCCCTTATTTGCCTCCTATGTTCTATTGCACTCCCTTATTGCATTGTGCTTTAAATTGCTGTAAACTCATTGTGGCAGGAAGCATGTCTTCCTGTGTTTGTACAGAATTATGCACAATGTCTGCCTTTTTGTCCTTTATTTAATGAACTGTAAGAAGAATGCATGGGCATGTTGGAATCTAAATAATTACATTTACTAAATAAACACGAGAGGTCTAGTTATTGATACACACTGCTGCTTTGCTTATTTCAAATGTGGCAATTATAGCTAGAGGTTTCACAATCTACTTAAAGGAATTTTACTTCTTTTCCATCTGTTGCAGTCACGATGTACCATTATGGTAAAAAAATCCTTGTTTGTTAAGGAGTCATCTGTAAAATTGGAGTTTTCTTACTGTTGTTTTTTTTTTTTCTAATAAACCCTGTTCATTAAGTTGTTGTTATAGACTTACTGAAATGTATACACAGCTGTTACATTGTTTGACTGCAAGATTAGATTAATAAATTCTGGTTTGGGTTAGTTACATTTACTTAAGTTGATATAAGACTTTCATGTAATTTCTGAAGAGGTGCAGAAGCTGTTCAGCGTGTATGCGCTAACATTCTCAAATGTGCACGATTACTGGAATTGTATATAGAGCCGATGTGAAGAACCAGTTGTTCAAGTGATTGTAGCTGGGGGAACAATAAATGATTGTGCATATAACAAGCTGCACAAATGTTCACGTAGATACCTGGGGTTTTTAACTGCTTACAGTGTTACTGCTCCAACAGTCAGATGAGCAACAGGCTCAAAGTACCTTTCTGAAGTCCAACTCTAGGCACTTGAATTCAGGAGTGTGAGCAGTATTATCTTAAAAATGCCATAACAGTCTGTAAACTATAGGTATCTTTCATGTGTGTATTTACTGAACTGCTTGCATTTTTGCTTCTGTTTGTGTTCAGAAGTGCCTTGCCCTTTATAACGCTGAAGAATTAGGCGCCTAACTTGTGCTGAAACCTGAATTTTCAGCTAGATGATTGCGGTAAACTTGCTGAGAGCCAGCCAGATTGTGTGGATCATACTTCTGGAAAAAGTCTTTTTCCACATAAAAGAGGTGCCACCCTGTTAAACCTGGTTGTTAAGCTGTCACCAGGCTTGTTTTTCAAGGAACTGAGATGTCAAAAAATATATCTGACCTGTGCAATGCAGAAGGTTGCAGAGACCCCACAAAGCAGTACTGTATGAGCTGTCTCTAGATTGGAAGCATCACAGCCTTCCTCAAGTGATGGTATGTGTGAAATTGTCTCCTAGCCTGAAGTTAGTGGTACTTTAATGTTACTGAAGACCTGAGGTATCAATTCTGAAGTGGTTTGTTTCTTGAAGGTGGATCTTGCAGGGTAAGGGCATACCATCAATATTTGTTATTTAGTGGGCAGTGTTTACAAATGTCTTTGTAGCATAAAGCCATAATTAAACAGGAATGTTTTGATTTTTCAGTGAAAGTTTTTAACCCTTATCATGAGTGGTTTGAAGGAAAACGTGGCCCTAGGTAGGAGATTTGAATTCATGTGTGTTTAAAATCTGTTAGGAAACTTGCCTGCAACTGTCTCTGCCGTGGGAAGGATGTATTGTAAGACAGTGTATGTGCCTGGATTATTGTCATGCATCTTAGTGTAGATGATGTGGAGCTTCTATATCAATTCTTTGGCATTTTTCATTGAACCAATTGTTTGATTTATACAGTTAAAGGTATGCTGTAGGTCATCTTCTTGTTGCAGTTTTGTGCTTTCAGAGCTTATCTGGGTGTGGTCGAGTATGAATTTCTCAGCTGGTATCTGACAATCTGGTTTGTGGAATCAGTTTTGCAAGAACGATGTTGTGGCAATCATGCACCCCTAGTGCTTCATAGCTGTGTGCTTCTCAACCACGGAGATAACGTTGCTTGCCCTTTACAGGCAGGAAAGCTGAAGCATGGAGGTCCCTGAACAACTCAATGGCAGAATCTCAGTGTCAGTGTAGTAGCCACTGAATCTTACCACATATAAGCTGTGTACATTTATTAGCCAAAGAAAGCATGATGCTTCTCACTATTTTCATTCCGTAGGACAGAATCCAAGTTTTCTGTCTCAAGGAAGACTGACTAATAATGTTCAGTGAACACTGAGCTCAGTGAAATGAGAGTCATGATACAAATCCTGTCTGTGAGGAATATCACTGTGGCTGTGGGAAGTCCCTCTGATGACTTGAAAAATATTCCTATTTGTCTAAATCTGTTCCTACACCAGATTGCTTTGTTTTGCCATAGCAGTTTCTTTTTTAGCAACCAGTTGTGTTTTTACTGATGAATAAGCCAACCACCTTGCTTTACATAAGTTTTTCAAATGTTTCTCTGAAGTTTAAAAAAAAAAAAAAGTTGAGAAATGACAACAGCCAAACATCCCTTCCATACCATATTCTAACGCAATGACCTAACTGAATTTAGTACATATCTTTTTAAGAAGCGAAAACATTTAAAGAGGTAAACACTGAAATTCTAACTCTTAAGTAGTAATTTGGGGAGGAGGAGAAGGTAAGGTTCTCATGTACCTGAAAATGTAATTGCAGTGTTTCCTCACTGTAGTGGTGTATTGCTGCATCCACCCTTCTCTTTGTAAAAGATGAGTCGCTTCAAGTTGGACATTGTTCTAGCCAGCAATTACATCTGAAAGAGGCAAAAGTGGTAATTCATCTGAACCACATAGGTCAACCATAAAGCAGATTAACCTAATGGCTTTGTTGCTGCTGTGTTGGAAAGTAAGCTGTTGGTCTTTCTAGAAGAATTTTATCTGAAGTATCTTAGAATGAGATCCAGAATAGAAGCTCTGAAATCAATATTAAGACACTTACAAACCACAACTATTATAATTTGATTTGATACTTCTTTTAAACTGCCTCAGAAATGGAAAAGGATGTTGCAGTTAGGGAATAATATGACAAACAAATTGGCCTCCTCCCATAACTTTTACCAGAAGTGGCTGATTTATCTGTAAATGATGTAGGTCATGCATTCTCTTTATGTTATTGGGACATACAGACTTTCTGTGCATTTGCTGTAAATATAAGAACAATAATTTCAGAGAAAAAAGAGAGCATGTTGATTTAGTTGATACTCCTAAGCATGATTAATACGATTCCTGCATATCATTAATAAATTATACATAGTCTTTATTGACTTCTATAGGATGTTGAATTCAATTGCATTCTAGCATGTGGTCTCTTTTCTGTAAAGTGAAGTTCACAACGGTCACATCGTAAATAACTGGCCAAATATGTTGGGCAAAATACAGCAGACTTTCTTGTGTTGGACGTGAAGTATAATGCACCAGTGATCCTCTTTTATGGTTTGGGGTTTGTTTTGGTGTGTTTTTTTTTTCCTTTGACTGTGCTTCAGAAGATGATATACTTGGTGTATATCACAGTTCAGTTTTACTGTCTCCAAACAGTACTGCAGTATGCTTTTGGGTCAGCTTATCATTCTTGCTCAATACTGATTGTACTGTGTCACGCACAAATGAGTCTTTCTGAGCAGTTTCTAACAGAAGTTTAACTTCTGTGGACCTTGCAGCTTAGCCTGTTTTTCAGTTGCATGGTTAAAAATTAGGTTGATGCTTCTGTCCATTTTTTTTCATGATCACATAGTAACCTATACCCAGTCGTTTCCTATTTGATGTATGTGTACAGCCTTTCTCTGTTAGTATTCCTTGATTTTGTTCATGTTCCCTTCTGTTAGAAATGCATCTCTGCTCTGTGTGGTTTGCTTTTTTCAAGCATATATTCATCTTTTTAACATCAAAAATATTTTGTTAAAATAGTGGGAGTTCGTTTTAATGATACTGGTAATTACAGCTTCATGATTAGTTCTGGTACTGCATGAAGTATGAGGAGGGGAAGTAGATTCAATATACTTGTGTTCTAAAATATTTTGGAAGGCAAATGACTTGACAAAGAAACACTAGGAAATAAAGTGCAGAAGGTTTTTTAGAGAGTAGGTATCAGTTTAAAGAGTCTCTGCAAGCCAGCTTTTTAAGGGTTTGTATTCCTTATTTGTTTACTCTTCTGGTGATACTAGAGTTGAGAATGTTTTGTTGCAGCAGCACAGTAAGACACCAGTGTTCCTGTTAGCAAAGATCATGTAAATTTGTTACGAGCTAAGGTACACTAAGCTGGAACTGCTCTGACTGCAATCATGGAACTGTTCGAGAAGCTGTATGTTTGAGTGAAGAGAGGTTTTTTTAAAATATATATTTTATTACTCTGAAGATGGTAGTTCCTTTCTCCCTAACGATTTAATTCTGAAAGAGTTGAGTGCTGTTTGCTGCTTGGTTTCTATTCGGGTTACATAGGGTAACTCCCTTCCTTTCTCTCCTATTGTGGTTAACGGTACGTGCTGCTTTGGTACAGTTAGAAAGTTTCTGTGCAGTTTTGTTACTGTTCTGCCATGTGGAAACGCATCTGGCCATATCACTTAGTAAAATCTTCTTTTAAAATATTTTACAGCACAAAAATTACTTTTCTGCTGAAATGTTTTTCAATTAAATTATATATATGTGTTCCTGTATCTCTCTCTTTGCTTTTTTGATAAGTATGCATATACTCTGTAAATGGAATTGGCTTCTTCAGATCAAAGTAACGTGCTAAAATTCCAATTTAACATAGAAAATGGAGCACAGATATTTTTTTGAGAAACAATGGGGAAAATACTGTAGTATTTTTTTAAAATCAGTTTAATACTCTTGCTGTGAAATATGAAACATTGAAAAGCTGTGAATTCTACAATAGCTAAGTTCTTCCTGATAATCCTGTGCCCTCCTATAGTCTAGAATAAATGGTGTGTATTTGAGCAACGCCCACATTAGTGGGTCTACTCTTATTACTACTACTCTCCTTAAAAAAAGAAAGAGAACATTGATGTACAACTTGATTATCAAAAAATGCGTTTAAGAGCTTTGTTCTATGTATTTTGTTACTAAGCTTTAACGTCTTCCATTCTTCACCATGCTTGAGAGATAATTCTCAATTTTTTCTTAGTCTGTCTTTGATGTTTCAGTTTTGTTTGTAATTTTCAGAATACCTAGATATTTGCTTTGTCTCTGCAGAGATATTCTGATGCACAGCCAAAATGCAAACTATTTGTCTTGCAAAAGACTTTCTGCATTTGCTAGTGTTTCATATAAAAGTTCTTCTATATCAAGTTTGTTATTGGTTTGGATATTCTTGTAGATGGATTTCTTTCTAGGCATGAAAAGCAGTGTGACAGATCTGTGCAGAAGTGACCTAATCTTATGCTGTTAATGCTACATTTAATTTTATTCTGACATAGTATTGTGTTTTACATGACTCATATTTTTCTTCTAGGCAAACAGAGTGGGCGTAGTAAGAAATGGAGAGAGATGCTGAAGTTGCCACCAGTTAGTCATTGTGAAGGTATTAGATGCTCAATCGGTAGGTGTCCTGTAGAATGGCCTGTCTGATTTTTTTGAGAAGAAAGGGTAAGAGTTTGGTGGTGCTAACTGAAATGTTTCTGTCTTGCTTCTGACTGCTAATTAGCAAAAAAAGCTATTAGACTTTTAATGTGATGGAGAATTTATGAGAAGATAAAAGCTGTATCACAGCTCCTTGTTTGTTAAAGGAGACTGTTCCTAAAGGGTAAATTTACAAAGCTGTGAATTAGAAGAAGGAATCATGTTGTAATTTGAATGATGTGGTAATATATTTCACTTTTTTTCTTAATGTCTTCTAATAATTTTTCAACCTTTTCTGATACTAACTTTTATTTCTTCTTCCCAGTCTTGTTTTCTTTGGGATTTGCTGTTTCACAGTATTGTTGCTTTCCACCCCCCCACCCTAAATGAAACTTAATCATATCATTCAATGTGTTTTTAATAAATTTGATGGTCTGTAAGAGACAAATGTGGCTGGAAGTGAGTGTTCCAGTGTTCTTTGTGATCATTGTGTGGTTTTGATGTCTTTGCTAATTATGTTAATGTAGAGTCTTCACATTTTTGTGATGTTTTTCTGACCTATTCTGAAATGGGAGTAAGGACCATGCTATGACAGAGATAAAAAGAAGTAAAGGTATTTACTTATTATTTCTTTCTCAGAAAGAGACTATAACCAGCTTTGTGACAAACAGCCAATAGGAAGACTTCTCTTCAGACAATTCTGTGATTCCAGACCAGATTTGAAACGATGCATTGAATTTCTGGATGCAGTGGTAAGCAGTGAGAAATGGAGATGGATATCAATAGGCAATAGCTTATACATTTTTATTTGTAAAAAATCTGATTTTTGTATTGGTTTTGGCTGGTGGAATAATTTTCTTCATTGTAGCTCATGCTGTGCTATGTTTTGGGTTTTTGACCAAAACAGTGTTGATTACAAGGATGTTTTAGTTATTGCTGAAGAGTGATTACACAGCATCAAGGCCTTCTATGTTTCTCACGCTGCCCCACCAGTGAGCAGGCTAAGGGTGCACAAGAAGTTGGGAGGGGACACTGCCAGGACAGCTGACCCCAACTGAGCAGAGAATATCCCATGCCATGTGACACCATGCTCAGGAATAAAAGCTGGGGGAAAGAAGGAGGAAGGGAGGGAAGTTAGAATTATGGCATTTATGCATGAAGGAGCCCTGCTTTCCTGGAAATGGCTAAACTTCTGCTTACCGATAGGAAGAAGCAAATTAATTCCTTATTTTGCTTTGCTTGTGTGTGCAGCTTTGCTTTATCTGGTAAACTGCCTTTATCTCAACCCACAATTTTTCTCACTTCTACCCTTCTGATTATCACTAGGGGGAGAGTGAACGAGTGGCTGTGTGGGGCTCAGCTGCCTACCAGGGTTAACACACAACAATTTTATAAAATACTAATTTTCTCTAAATACATCTGTGCACTAACGCTGCATAGATGAAAATATAGCGAGATTTACTCTTTGCCAACTCTAAAGCTGTAACTTTTGATGAATGTCAAAAAACTCTGGCTCTGTTACTTAAAGGAAGATATTTAAGATTTACTATGAAATTTCTGACATCTCAGTGGGGTCAGGGCTACAAAAATGAGCATGATGGAAATGAGAGAAATAGACATGCTACTTGACTACTTGAGCCTGAAAAGATGTGTGTACAATGAATATTGTGATACTCATACTTGAAAATGTTGTAAACATAGACTTGAAAATGTGGCAACTTGCATGGAAGCCCTAGGCTAGGCAGAATGTGCTAATTTAAAAAAAACAACAAAGGTGGAAATTTAGGGAACCATCTATGGAACAAGAGAAAACAAATTTTAGAGACCAAGGGAAAGGGAAGTGTTTTGTCTTGATACATTTGTATCTTGGTATCTAACACTAAAGAATGAGGGGAGGAAGGAAGTGTGCCCACAGCCATGTTTTGTAAAAAATCCTCAGACAAAACCCTCTCTGGGAGGGGGAAAGTAACGAGAAGAGTAGGCAGGCACACGACAGTCCTTAAGAGGAGAGTATAATAGCTCAGAGCTTTTTATTCTTTGACCCTCATAGTTAATTCAAGAAAGATACAGTCTTAAACTGAGATTGCTGCCAAAGGACAGTTTTCCTTATCCCACCTGCTTTTGTTCTTATATTCAGTGAACAAATGACCAAAGAAGGTGGTCAAATTATGCTGCTGCTTACATGCATCCCAAAATACAGTCTCAGAATGCAAGATGGCTCTGAGAGGTGCAGGGTGTAAGGAAGTACATGGGATTATGGCTGTGCTCCTCACTTCACCGTATCTTTCTTCCCCCTACAGGAATATAAACCGAGGCACTTGATCAGCTAAAAAGGAACTTTAGTGTCAAATAAGAAGAATTGCTTTATATTTATCAATGAATCTTTGTGCAATTAGGCTTACTTCCTGGGTGTGTTTCATCATACTTTTGTGACTCTTAGGAGCTCTTCTAGCACTAAATTCCAGAGACCAACTTGACAGTTGGAGACATAGAATGGGTTGAATGGAAATCCAGAACAGTGGGGATAAATATCCTGAAGCGAATGTAAACCAGAGCCTTTAATGAGCATCACACAATGGGGAGACCACTGGCAACTGTGGATCTACCCTTAATGGTTACAATTTCTGTACACATTTTTAATCCTTAAAAGCTTAGATAAGGAGAAGCAGAGTCTTAGGCAGCAGAAAGGAGATAAAAATCTTAGGCATGACCATAAGGCAGGTGTGTCCTCTACAGATGTAATTTTTCAGGTAAAATTCTCTCTAAGAAGTAACTGTGTTTTACAATAACTGAAAATTTTGAATTGTTTTGAAATATACAACCTATAAAGTTATGTGAATTGCAACAGTTTTGTGAATTAACAAAGACTGTCATAGTTGAGATGTAAGGGATAATTTCACAATTCTCTCTTTTCTTTTTTTTTTTTAAAATTTTAACTTCCAGAAGTATGCTTGGGAATCACTGAAGTCTCTTAAAAGCTAAGATAATCTCTAATTGGTGACTCTCATGATCTGAAAGCTAGCATGCTGTCTTGACCAAGAGAGTCAGATAATCTCTTGCAGATAATTCCTGAGTTATCCTGATTCTCTTTTCTGGGCTGGACTTCAGGAAGCTTGTTCAAGCTTTTTTTGTGGGGTGAGGTGGTGTTGAGGGGTTTTTTTTTGGTTTTGTAAAGCAGTAATGTGAAGCAAAAGGCTAAGGTTGTGGGATTTTTACCTGGTGTTTTGCCAGTTTTTAAAGTTTTTTAATTTTAAATACATTTTGGACTTAATCTTTCTGAAAATAAACATTCTGGCATAAAATGCCACCATCTTAAGAGCCTTGCATCTTAATTAAAAGAGTTTTCTGACTCTCTTATATGAAGTGATGTGATTTCATCAGCATGATATTTCAGGAGGTCAAAATGGCAAAATCAAGGTAGTACAGTGCTATGTTGTCTACCTGTTCTGAGTACTAAGACTGGCACACTTTAACTCTTGAGAAGGTGTGACCTTAAAGTCCAGAGTCAGCTTGGCTTTATAGAAAGAAAAGTTGTGAAATAATTGAATAAAAGTGGCAGAAATTAAAGTGAGGAATTAGTTATCCAATCATCTAGTGACTCATTTCACTAGCTGGGGACGAGGTTACTCAAGTATGAAAAAGAATTGGTGACAGCTCAAACTTCCCTCTTAAGCTCTGTGAGTAACAGAAATTAGTTGTCAAGACTGTCTCTTAAACTTCCTTTTAAATTACAGTATCTGCTTAAAACAGTATGCCTAACTGTTTGTATTAAATTAGTGACTACTTTGGCATAACTGAAAATGTTAAAGGTGGTAAATGCACTGCTGTGGTTGATTAAATTTTCTGACCTGCTCAGGCTGTTTGGTAGTTGCAGAAGAATTCCTTACCATTAGACTGATTGTTGTGGAATTAAAGTAGGAAAAACAATGGCTTGCAATTGTTTATGGATTTGAGTACTGTGCTGAAATGGTTCATACCATCAAGTCTCAGCAGAAGATGATGTTGATGACTTAGTAGTGAGTCAGTGTGAGTTAGATTGCAGAATTGGAGTTCAATGATTCTGTTATTTCCAATATTGTACATGTGTGTTTGGTTCTTGAACTGTCATTTTTGAGTGTTCTAGTTTTCTTTATGAAGGTACACAATTTCTCTTCTGATTAGGTCAATCAATTGAAACTTCCTATGAGGTTCTTAATGATTGTTGTCCCAATATGCCAAACTGTTTTGTATGATACAGTCCTCCATTCTGGAGGTCTGCCATATATTCTTTGTTCCTAGGTGCATGCATTTGCATTCTGAGATATGAAATAAGCTTTGATTGAGTTGGCCGAGCTTACGAAGCTAATGCAGGTTGCTGTTTGAGATTGCTCTTTTCTAATTCATCTTTCTCCAGATTCTGTGTTATCTTTAAGTGTAGTAACTTCTGATGCTTGCTTCTAGATTATTCCTTAAAATTATTATTAGTAAGTAGTCCTTGGAGTTTTTCAATACCAGTATCTGTTTGGTGGTTTGGGGGTTTTTTGTTCCAAAAGTAGCTGCCTCTGGAGCTCTGTTAAGCTGCCAGTTGTTTATCTGCAAAACGCACTGTATTGCACAATGGTCTTTTTCTACATCACAGTACCATGTATTACTAAGTCAAAAACTTCACAAAATTTTGTATCTACTCAGTTTTATTTTCTCAAAGAATGAAGTAGGGTTTAGTTTAGGTCTCACTTATTTCCAGTTAACATGACCGTGTAGAAAGTAGTAGTTTTATCCTGGTTTTACCCAAGACTGTAGTATAGAAAAATACATGAAGGGAAGAAAAATAATACAGTAAAGAAAAAGCTGATTAGTGTACTCTTATTTAATTATTCCCCACCTGGATCATTCTGTCCTCCAATACTATGTAAATACTATTTCATTGTAATGATCTAATTTAACCTCTAGGATGCAGTTTCTGTAATTGCATTTAGACTAATTGTTAGGTTTTGTATGTTTTCCAAAAGTTAGATTCCATGTGTGTGTTTTTCTTAAGACTGTTCTTCCTACGTGTTTCACCATGTAGCCTAAAAATCTTTAAATAGATTTTAAACGATGAGAGCCTTCAGTTCCTTTCATATTATGATCATTGTGTTATTCATGATAAAATTTACCTAGCATCATGTAAAAGGCCGTAGTGCCAAAAAGCTCTGAGCATAATTTAATTTTCAATTCCATTCCCCTAGGCAGAATATGAGGTATCTTCAGATGAAAAGCGTATAGACTGTGGCCTGAAAGTTTTAGAGACGTACTTCACTAATGGGGTAAATATATTATATTGCAAAATATTGTCTGAAGTGTTTTGGTGTCAGGTAAATAGAGAATTAAGTGGTTGCATTGTTTTTAGTAAATTGACTTTCAAACTCAGTCCCATTTTTGTCTTTCTGATATCTATACTGCCTTCTAAAATTGCGAAACTCTTATCAACTCGAGCAGAAACCTTGACTGATCTCTGCTTTTAAGACCACTACCATTATGATTTATTCTCCTATGTTTTCTAATTAAAATACTGGTCTCAAATAAATTTTTCAACAAGCTCATCTAGCATCTAAAGAAAACTTATTAACAAATTAACTCAGAGTTCTGAAGACACGAGAATAAAGGATTCTTGAAATTCTCAGGCTTCTTTCACACTCCTGTGTGGCCTTGGTTGGTTTGCTGTAAATTTTCAGAATTGCTGCAGGTTTTCACAACATGAAATGCTGTTTTGTTTTGTCCTGGATCATTCTGTTTCTCTGTATTTTGCATGGAGATCATTAATAGCTGATCTTTTGCATATATTAGATCTCATGGATTGATTTTTAAGTCTGTTAAGAGTCTTCTATCTTCCAGTAGAAGCTTTTCTGTGGATATATAATTAGACGTTTGCTTTTTATGAATAGATGCTCTTTCTGCTTCTCTTGCTTCAGTCATCTTGAGAAGGCTTTACTCCAGTTGAAGGTCTCGCAGATACCTTAAAAGCATATAGACTCCAAGTTTGCCACATATCTTCTGAAAATTTCTTTGGGACTGCCATCAGTCTCACACAGTTTTTGCAAAAAAACCCCAGATTTCTTTGGGCTGGTTTGAAATAGTTTCTAAATTGTGTGTACGTGTCTTTCCCCTTCCTTCCATCCTGCCCAATCAAATAGATAACTTGATTTTGTGGTGGTAGACTTATTGAAAGAAAAAGCAATTTGATTTATTGCCAGTTTTGTTTCCCCAGATAGTGAAACAGTAAATAACTGTAATAGCTTTCAATGCATTTTTCTGTAATAGGGAACAAACAAAAATTTTGCCTGAATATGACTTTCTTGCTTTTCTCTTTAGCCAAACCATTCTTTTCCTTTTCCTGTACTAGCAGATTTCATTTCACTTTGAATACAGAACTTGTTCTATTGATTTACAAAATTGCTTTCATTGTTCCCCCCACCCCCTTTTTTTTTCTAAATTATGTAAAGTCTGCAGCACACTTGCCAGAAATACCTCAGGAAACAGTAAATGAATGTAAAGCAAGACTGGAAAAGAACCCTTCTAAGGACCTTTTTATTGACTGTACTAGGTAAGTTAAAAATGCATAGTGCTAAGTTTGAGTATCACAAGATAAATTAGTGTGTTTCTGAAATAAATGAACAGTGAAGTTATTACACCCAGGAGTATTTGGTCTCTGAAAGAAGTGTAGGTAAGAAATTTGGAACAGATTTATTAAAAGACTAGGTTTCCTTCAGAGGTGATGTAGATGTTTGACTTTTGCAGAGCTTTTTCTTTAATGCTATTCTTGCATAAAGTCACACTATTATCTGCTAGCAAGTACTCTTTAAGTTAGAATAGTATTCCTCTTTATTATATTCTTACCTTTTAAATGACTTCTCTTCCATGATGAAGATACTTAGAAAAATATGAAGTTACAAACTGGAGCTTGACAGGTTTCTGAAAAATGTTACAGTTTATGGTTCTTGAAAATGGATTGAATTGAGGCCAACAGTTATATTCTGTTGTGATGGTTGATTAGAGGGTTGATTGCGATAGTTAACACAAACAAATACAACTTGGTTTTGTTCTGAAGTCATGAAGTGATATTTCACACAGCAGCAGCAGGGAGGGCTTTTCTTGGAGGGACGGTACATGTTTACCAGCGTTGCATGTCTTTCTGAAGCCTTCATGTTTCTAATATTACTGGTTCTTCAAGGCATGCTTGATCATGTCTGAAGGATTACAACACGTTTTGTCACTGCTTGGGTCATCTCCCTGGCAACAAATTAAGCATACTTTATAACAACTTGAGATTATAAGATCAAAAGGGATGTGTGAGAACACCTAGTAAAACATGTCTCAAATGGACGATCTGTCCAATAAATATCTGAATACAGTTTGAATGCCTTGTTTTCCTTCCCCCCACCCCCCTTGGTGTATTTAATTTAAGGGGAATGACAAGGTACACAGTGTTCAGGTTTGGATATGGCATTTAGTATTTCAATTTCATATCGTAGAATAAGATTTTACTTACCAGTCTCCAAACGATAGATACTTTTCTGTAAATATCTTTCAGAGGTCATATTTGTGGGGTCATACATGCATTGCATAGCTACTGAGATACTGACATTTAGGCGGGCTTGAAGACACTTAATGAGAATGCAGAGGTCAAACTTTCTAGTGACTATAAGTAACAGTAGTTTGGCATTCACTAGTATTTTGACAGGACCAGTTTTCTGTGACAGGCACTCACTTTGTAAGACATCTAGGTTAAAACCATTGTAGAGCACAATCACAATGTTTTTCTGCCTACAGCTTCATTGATATGTTTAAGTGTATTTTAACAGATTGATAGTAGCTCCTGCTTCATCCGTTTTTTCAGTGTAAAATTTATTTTATTATCCTTTTGATAGAATTGTCCATGAATACCTAAGCAGAAGACCTTTTGAAGCTTACCAAGAAAGTGTGTATTTTTCCCGTTTTTTACAGTGGAAATGGCTGGAAAAGTGAGTTTATTAATAAAGTTTGCATTGTAATTTTACTTTGCTTTGTGTGCAGTTCTGCTTATTATGCTAGAAATATTATAGAGTCCTAATGAATGACACTGCCTAAGAAATTATGATCTGAAAGACAAGATGTAGAGGATGATGTTGATGGGACAGGGAGAGAGCCAATACTCCAACGGAAGTATCTGCCTAGGAGTCTTTAAGTGGTAAATTTGTATTGGGTAAATGCGAATTTATTATCATATGGATATATGTTTGGCTGTCAAGTATGCAGTGGGAAACCAATCTTTCTTGGAAATGCTATCATCCTTTAGTTTCAAACTTGGTCTAATTAGTGGTTAATAAGCAGATTAATCTAGTTTTATAACCCACCGGGTGATTGGGTAACTAATCAGTTTTTCAGCGTGGTACAGACACAGATCTGGTAATTAAGAAACATCAAGATCTGTATATATCAGAATCTAGTTTGGGCTTTTAAATCAATACTAAATGAGTGTCCAAACTTTTTCAGAAGGCTGAAATTGGTACAAATTGATTCTAATTCGGCACTGCTGGGTATCATGATGACATATTCAAACATTAAGGTGCTTGGTCATTAATTTTATGGTAAATTCCAATTATCCGGTGTCTTTGACTGAATTAGTAGCAAAAGCCAGGAAGAGAACTAGGGAAGTTACTCAAACAATTAAACCAAATTCTCTACCAAGTGAATCTCCATTTGTTGTCCCAAGAACAAGCCTGCATCAACAAATAATAAAACCCAGCTCACCACCATGAAATAGCCCTGATCTGATACATGCTTAGGGGTGTTTTAGCATAGAATGGCTGACACCTTTACTGCCGACAGTTATCTGTTCCTCTTCCACTACATCAGTACTTTAATTCGGCTCTTGAACTGCTGTTGCATACCACAGCTCTGTCTTTTTTGAAAAAGCCAAACAGTAAAGCAAAATCAGAAATGGTTTACCTTCTAAATGCTGTATTGTAAGCATGATCTCATTGAAATGCAGCCTACATGTCAGCATACTGCAGCTAAGGGAGACAGCTTGACCGTATGAGAACAGATAAGGCTCTAACCATAAACAGCGCAGGGCCTAATTGATCAGCTTTTCTTCCTGCTATTGTGAATGTCTGATGACCACATGAGGGAGCCAATGTTTCTAATCAGAGCACCCCTTTCATTTGAAATTCAGCTTATTATAATACTGTCTTCATGAGGTCAAGGCAACTTTTGTTCAATAAATTGTCATAGAACAGGAAGGATAAAATGAAGACAGACCTCCGGGTGGGGAGGGGATTACTAACTCTTGTAATTCCTGTTGCAGTAATTGTTTCTTTCTGTTTATCAGGCAACCAGTAACCAAACACACATTTAGGCATTACCGAGTACTAGGCAAAGGTGGATTTGGAGAGGTGAGTACAGAAGTATCTTTCTGTGAGGCAATCCTTAAGAAAAAAAAAAAGTTAATACAGAGGAGAGGCAGTTTTTTAACTCTTAGACTCTGACAATCTACATTTGACACATCACCTGGCAAACTGTCGTCAATCCAAACTGTTTTCTTTTAATATATTAGTTTCAATATTGTATGTCATGCACAAAGTTGGAGAAAACTTCCACTGACTAACAACAGTTGCTTCTGTTTAGAAATTTCATTTGGCAATGAGAATGTAGTTTCTACTTAATATTTATGTAGAATATTCATGAACCTGATAGGAAAAGCTATAGAGTTTATTAATTCTGTTTATAATTCATTGGGGTTTTCCCCCCTGCATGCTTTAACCAGAGCCATATATTGAAGGGGAAGGAGCGTTGCTAAATTACCATTATCTTTCTCCTGCTTGATTATGGCATGGATGTTTGTCCTCTGTCCAGCTTGCCTAGACATAATGTTACCACAGTCAGGTGTTTCACCAACACAAGATCCACAGTTTTACTGAACTATTCGACCCTAACAAAAATCAATTGCTCCTGTATAATCACTTTTCCTACTTCTGTTACAGCTTTTGCGACCCTTCAAAGTTGTTTAATGTGTGAAAGCTCTGTATTGATGGTTACAGACCTTCACTTTCTGAGAGCATTCAGGAATGTGAAAAAAGAAAATCAAATTTTATCATCTTTACAAAATTTCCTAAAAATCCTGTAGCATCTCTGACACACGCTCCTTCTTTTTTAGGTGTGTGCCTGTCAAGTACGGGCAACAGGAAAAATGTATGCTTGTAAAAAGCTAGAAAAAAAGAGAATAAAGAAGAGAAAAGGAGAATCAATGGCTCTGAACGAAAAGAGAATTCTAGAAAAAGTGAATAGTAGGTTTGTAGTAAGTATCTACTTCTGATCTTATTCTCCGAAGTTTGTCTTGCTTTGTTTCCTTCATTTCAGCCTCTTCCAGGATCTTGTGAGCACAAGACATTTTTTAATTGATTTAGAGGATGCATGACTGCTGAGATAAATGATTGAGATAATAATTTTGTGTGTGACTGTGAGTAGTTCTGTGTGGAGGCTTTTTTATCCAATATTGAATTGGCTTTAGTCTGCCTGCTTTATTTCTCACTTACAACCAAAACATTAGGTTATGTTTCAGCATGCTGATGGCACTGAATCTTTGTCCTCTGTTTAAAGGTAAATAGATTATTCTGTAGTACTCAGACTGGAATGATCACTTAAATTCTATGTCTGCTGCAGCCTGTGTTTGCCTATGTTTAATAAAGAGGATATTCCATATACTTTATTCCATCCTATGTTTTTCTGTCTCTGTTTCTCTTCTCTGTCTCTTCTTCCAGTGCATTGCTCTCTGTTTTCTTCTCTTACCCCCTTCTTCCCTCCTATATACCTATTTTCTTATAATTAATGCTGATTTCTAATTTCATTTTTGGAGGTCATTCATAAATGCACTTACAAAGGGGTGACTTCATGAGAGTTTGCCATTTAGTTGCCATTAGAAGTTGCATATCCTACACTTCTGTGACTTTTAATAGTAGAGTTTTTATATCCTTAGGTATTTTCAGAGCACTCATTACTCTATAGCTTATACATTTCAAGATAAACATGAAATTTGACTAGTATATCAATTCAGGTTAGTTATATTGCTTTGCTGTCTATTAAGGCTTAAAGAGGTGTCTTAGATGTGAAACAATTAACGTAACTTTTTAACAGAAGTTCCACAGAATGAAAGTCTTAATACTTTAACCTGATACTATCACGTAAATTATGGTCTGTTAGTAGCTCTAATTACTGAGCAGTGAAATAACTTAGACTGATCAAAGTTATACCAGGTAAACTTTACCCCAGGTAATGTTTATCTTTTCATTGAAGTATTGTCATTTAAATGTTAATTTTAAATGCATTTTGCTTTGTTTTTAAATCCACTTACTGATAAATCTTGTATTGCTGTTCAGAGAGGATTTTGAAGTACCTGTGTTAGAGGGTGGTAGAAGTTATTCATAAACAAATATATATGTATGTATGTATTTTCTGATAAGCTTTATGTATTAAAAAGCATTTTTGATGCAACAGAGAAGATCTAGACCTAGGATATAAAGTAACACTGGGTTGGAAGTTGGTAGATAGTTTGTCTTGCCTGTGTCACAAGTGAAGTCATTAAGAGCTGGACAGGTCAGTTTAAAATCACCAAATAGGAACCCTTGACCTGAGTAGCTGATTTGTATATTTATTTCATTTTATTATTTAGTATTGGATTTATGCTTCTGAAGGAAGAGTTTGGACTTATTACTGAGTTAAGGCCTTCATGTACTTGTACTGCATTTAAAAATACATTTATTGAGCCAAAAAAATCCTACTAATTTTTACCTGTCTTATACTTAGCTTACATTAGGTATGTTTAAATCCCATTGCTTTCAGTACAAGTTAGTTAATCAGCATAGCATAGCTTTTGCTATTGAAACTGAGTTTGTAACTTCAACAACGTATGTTAAATTTTTAAGTCTATTACATTGTTTTGAAATCGTTTTTCTTTATATTCATGAGACTACCTTCAAACTTTAAATGCACTTTAAAAACATTTACCTAAAACCTGACGAAAAAAAATATGGTGTTCTTCCTTCCCTATCAGCACCTCATTCCAAATACAGTGAGAAGAAAGAAGAGCTATACTAAGTCTTTACTCTTGGCAAGTTCTAAGCCAGGGAAACATGCAGTTATTTGGGTAGGTGGGGGGAGGAATAGAAACTACACGTTTGATCTTAAATAACTTTTTTAGTTTTTCTAACATAGGGCAAAGTTCAGTCTTGTAGAAGTTCAGGAAGATGGTTTGACAATGCATAATTCCTCAGGTATTAATAAATAAGGTATATGTGCATGTTCTCTTTACAAAGAGTAATATAACTTGCAGCTGAGGGGCATCATCAATAAATCTATTGGCTGCATGGAGGTCTATGGTATCTAAAGAGATATGTCACTAAACTCTTGTATAGTGAGGTAGGGTTTGTGTATACATGCAAATTAGTCTGAATTCCTTTGTGTCTTCAAGTACTGGACAGGAGCAATTCTCTGCTCAGCTGTTTTGCTCTTCTTTGTTTTTAAAAAAATTATTCAGGTGTTGCTTGTATTGGAAAAAAGGAGCTGTGAATTGTTTTGGGGTTTATAAATGAATAATGGTTGTCTTCTCCCCCTGCCCCATTTTTAGGTTAGTTTATCCTATACATATGAGACGAAAGATGCCCTGTGTTTAGTATTAACCATAATGAATGGAGGGGATTTGAAGTTTCACATATATAATATGGGAAATCCTGGCTTTGATGAAGAAAGGGCTATTTTCTATGCTGCAGAACTGTGTTGTGGTCTGGAGGATTTGCAGAAGGAGAGAATTGTTTACAGGTAAGTGTCATCGACAGTTACTCGTACCTTGAATTTTCCACGTCTGTTCAGCATTGAATGTATTAATTGTTTTCTACCAAAACAAGTGTATACTTCAATTTCATAGTAAAAGAAGCAAAAAAATTGTTTAGTTGGCCTTTTCATGGCACATCCTTCAGAATTACTGATCTTATTTGTCTTTTGTCTTCTTATTGTTAATTTAGGTCTAGATACTCTTATTCTGTAGATACTTGTATTCTAAACCACTATAACATTGATGCAAGGTTGGTTTGTAAAATTATAGTAAATTGTGATTTACAAAGCAAAAAATTCCAATAAATAAGTAAGCTTTAGGAACATGGGATTGTATTCCCACCCACTCTGAAGTAGAAGTTCATAGAAAGCGATAGAAGTCCCTTGCTGCATTGCTTGTTACGAGAGGTTAAAAAGGTTACAAGAGGGTAAAAAGCCAGTTATAATCTGGATTGTCCTCTTTTGGTTTTATTTTAGTTCCTCCAATAAACACCTTATTGCTTTTGAATTAATGAAACTGTCAGAAGCCTCATGCATTGTATTTGAGACTGTATGATCGTACTTCTCTTTTCTGTCGCTGTACATGCATCATTTAACCCCTGGTATGCATTAATATTACAGAACAAGCGAAACAAACCTAGTGGTGGACCAAGAATGCTTTTTTTATCTTTCTGGTGTGTAACACCAAGTACCACTTGATTTCAAAGATGTAAAATATAATCCTGCATAACTTTAATATAATGAGTCTTAGTCTTTTCCCTCCCCAATACAGAAGACTACCATACACACAGCAGAAAGTGGCGGAACCACAGAATAAATCAGGCTGATGCTGGTTGTTGTATGTGGTTCCCTAAATAATTTGGCAATCTTGCAATGTTACACAGTGTGTTTTGGCATGCATGTAGAAGGTTGAATGGTTTTGCTCATCATTCTCATCATATTGATCAGCTACAAGTAGGTCATTTCACATTGCCCAAGTGAAAATAAAACTCATTGTTTAAAATACAAAACAACAACAAAAAAACCCCAAATAAAACAGAACCAACAAACCTCACAGCCCTTGTGTTTAAGCCCAACTTATTTGCTGTTTGCCTACAAGAAGACCTTCAAACACAGGTGTCAAATCCTAGTGTTCTTTGTAATTCCAGATCTTGGGAGCGGTCGTGGTTTCTTCTGGAGCAGTCTTGGTGTCTAGATCTCTGCCCTGTTTTGTGCTATTACGTAATCAGTTTCCAATTATTAAGAATTTGCATGGTCTTATATTTGTGAGCAAAGAAAAAAGTAGTTTCACAATCAACTCTGAGTTAAATTGCCTCTTAATTAAAAGAATGGGAATTATTTTTAGTCCTCTGTTTGTAACAAAATGAAGGACCAAGAGACAGGTACCTATACATGTGTTAGTAACTGAGTAATCTGTATGCCCGGAGGAAAAAGAAGGGCTTAAATGTAATCATTATACCTGAAGGCATTATTTAAACAGTTCAGTATAGAACGTAGTAAGGGAGTTCCTGCCCAGTATGTAAACAGATGAAAAGAGCCTCTAATTATACCACGTTAGCTCAACTACACTTGAGTACTAAAACTAGGAAATGTTTGGGTAATTTTGTGCTCTCTGTAGAATCACTTCCAGCCCTGAACTTCTTAGTATCAAATGATCAACTTTTTGTGAAACAAAGTCTTGTTTCTTCTCTTTTGCTAATGGTAGAGTTTTTTCCTGATGGTCTCGATTTGGTTTTCCCATATGTATTTCTTTTTTGTATCATGGACTTAGGAGCGTAGCTGTAGATTTTAGAGTTTTAAAATCAAGAAGCCAAAATGGGTGGTCACGGAAGTCTTCAGAATGTCACCAATTACCGTGATATGTTACACAATCAAAATTCTCTATCAGGCATCTTAATGGAAATGCATTTAAGCAGCAATACGGTGATTCTGTATGATTAGTGAAACAGAAAGCTTGGGAAAATTTGCCATAATTATTTTATTCTCACCAAAGAAGTCACACTGGCAACCTCCAGTCTTAATGCTGTTGTGGGGGGAAGCACATTTTCATTGATTCAATGATTTCTTTTTCTGAATTATGTTAACTAATATTTTTCATTCTCCAGGGCAAGGAAATACAGGAGAAATGTTTTTCTTGTTTTGCTGTCATTTTGAAAGCATTTAATACTGGTGGGACCACTGGATTTCTGACATTGGAGCTGATTCTTTTTCTTGTTGCCATATGTCAAGATCTATTACTGCATTTGTTTTCCAGCCTTAAAGGAAGAGTTTTAAACTCTCTTTTTAGACATAAAGTTTAAACTGTTAAAGCAGACTTTAATTGTGTAACATATTTGATTCTATACTGTTATAATATATTTTCTTGAGAATGTGCTTTTGTGGCTATCCATCCGTATATTCGGAGTAAAGTGTACTGCAGAGGCAGTGGAAGGGAAATTCAGAACTTCTGAAAACAGAAATCCACAGTTCAGATGGGTATCAGCAGATATCAGTAAAATCAGTTCATCTTGTCAGTTTGTTTAGTTCTAGAATAGCAGTTTTAATGTCAGGCATGTTAAAATTTATTATATATTTATTATACTTGGGATATGTCGCCATCAGTAGCAAAATGCCTCATAATATGGAAAATGTAGGCCTCACTTTCCTCTCCATTAGCACCAAGTTTTATTGCATGTTTCATGTGTCTTTATACCAGTTATTACTGAATTTCAAGCAGTGGCATTGGTGCTGTCTGCAGGACCTTGGAATCAGTTGTGCCATCTTGTTAGTGGAGTTCCCACTGGATTAAAAGAGCTGGAAGGAGGGCCTCGCACTGCCCTGTGACAGCAATTGAACCAGCTTGCTTGTTCAACAGGAGCTTGTGAAACTATCTGTAACTTGCTGCCAGATGTTGCTGATGTTAGAAAAACAAGCAAACAGACAGGAAGAGGCAGCAGTGGAGCTGTTCATCCATGTGCTGCATAAAAAGTCTGGTAATATTTAGAGCAAAGTCAGGATTTGCATAAGACAGAGTGGGGAACAAGTGCCTGCTTTCCAAAAGGGACTTAACTGCTGGAGTTGTCCTGCAGCAGTTACCTGACTCCTGAAGAGTGGTGTGGTTTTTATCAGATAAGCTGCTTGGATACCTTGATTTTCCTCACAAACTCATGTAAGTGCCCATAGCACCACTAAATGTGCCTGAAAGGTCAAAAATCAGGCTGTTGAGGCTGTAGTGGATAGACCAAGTAGCTCCTTGCCTGCCTCGTGCCTATGCTCAGAGTAGATATGTTTACAGTGCAATCCCCTGAAGGATTTTTATCCAGAAATTTTCTCTGTAAGAAGGCTGGTGTAAGCTATAGCAAAAATAGACCAGTGCTTGTTTAGTCCAATTTAAAATAAACTTATAATATTTATCTAACTCTTTTTAATGAGCCTCTTAGTTTTGGGAGCTTTGCAGTCCTCCGACCTTTCTCAGCTTCATAAAGGAAAACTGCTGCCTCTGGTGCTAGAATTGCATTGCTAGCTCTTGTTCTGAGCTTGGTTTTCAGCTCAAGTAGCCTGTTATCCAGCGCAGGATTAGCGTGTGTGTGTATTCCAATAGAATCTGTTACTTTGGTCTCTGTCATGGTGGAGGAAGGGAAGAGCGAGAAGCTGAAACTCAAAATCTAGCATCTTGGAGCTAGAATTTATAGCTGAATGCTTCCAAAAGCTGACTTCTTTGCAGATGGTTAGGCCTAGAAACTAACAGCATTAAAGAGCTGGAATTTTGTCTAGAAACAAGTTTTTCTATTGACTAACCAAAATCATGTCAGGACAGAATTAGCTTCTATTAAGCAGCAGATGTTGCTAGTAAGTATTCAGTTTTAGGTTAGGCTTTAGTCAGCCTTCTTGGAGACAGAACTCTCAACTTGTTTACTTGAGTTAATCTTAGCATACATTATGTGCTTTAAAGTAGATATGTTTCTACCTCAAGTTTGAGGTGAATTTTCTTTCTATTTTTTGGTACTGGTGTGAACGGTTTTTTTTGGTTGTTTTTTTTACTCTGATCTCTCCTGATTTCTCTGGTATTGTAATCTCATATATAATGTCAAATGATTAACATTATGGGAACCGTCTAGACTTAAAAGTATTAGGAAGAAAGTGTCTTGCTGACTTTTTTATACAGTTAATGTCATGAGATAATGAAACTTTAACCTGAATACACATACTTTAGAGCATCAACTTAATCAATACTTGGGGAAAAAAAAGTATACAGATTTCTTGGTGAACAAATGTGTGTGTATATATTTATCTCATTTTGAATGTAAATTCTAGACCCGTTCTTCCTAAAATTGCTTCTTTTACATTATTCAGTTTTTTCTGCTTGTATATGAATAACTGTTATTGTCACAACTGTACATATACCCATATATGTACATATTATTGTTAATCTGTTCCATTAATAACTGAATCCTTATAGCCAAGCACTGATTTTTACTTGTCTATTTCTGGCCTTATGATATTTACGGTGGAATAAATCTAAAAGACTGTATTGCAGTCCACATACTTTTTGATGCATATCACAATTTTATATATAATATATATTACATGTTCTATACATATATTCTATGCATATATATTATAAATAAAAAAATATATATGTTCTCAGTAGAATCTTCTAGAGGCTGAATCTTAGAAGTAACCTCTAAACAGCTTCTGATTCAGTTTCAGTGACTCCCCAAATTTTCCTTGAGGGGGGACGAATCCGGAAATACCATTGAGTTTCTTCTTCTGTTCTTAAAGTAAAAATGTACAGGAAGATGCCTATAAAATGCAGAATTGCAACACTGAATTAATTGCCCTTTTTGCTATTTCCTGAGTCTTGCTAGCTTTTAATAGCTAAAAAATGTTTCATGTGAAACTTCGATATTTACAGAAAAGTAGTAGAAAGTTGACTGCAGAGTCCTAACTAGATACAAGTGTTTGGTAAGCTTTAGAAGCTTCATGTCTGAATTAAAGGAATGGAGTTTGAATGGATGATATTAAGCCTGTGCTTAGTCTTGGGAGTATTACTCTTTGTTGATATTCTGACACCCTGGCATGGAATAGAGCAAGGGGTCAGCATCAAACTGCAGCAAGCACTGATGTGGTTTACCGTTGTGGAGTTTAATGGCTGATACTCTCAGGAGAAATGCCTGTCACTTATGAGCACAAATTTGGGTGTAAGTTGGTGGTTCTTCGTATCAGGATTTTAGTGTTGTGTAGAGTTTCGCATCTGTGAAATATTAATTGCTGTTGTTAATATAAATGGATTAGAGACTTGGGAAAAATGGATCTCAAGATTAAACTTAGTTAAACTATTTGTATTATAGGTTCTCAACTTTTTTTGTATACAGGTGGAAACTGGAAAATCACTTTAATCAGAACCAAGAAGGTCTTATGTTGCCTTGGTTGCACTTGATGATGGCTAATGATTTTGCATTTGTATAATTCACATTTCTATTCTGTTTAATTTGTAGAGACTTGAAGCCTGAGAATATACTCCTTGATGACTGTGGTAAGTAAAATTAATTTTGAAATTGGGAATTACTACTCTAATTGATACTATGCCAGAGATCAAATAGATTTCTTCATAATAAAAGGGACCTGACTGACAAATGTTAACTCAAATTAGTAAGGAAAAAACTGCCCTTGCTTTTTAGAAAGTAGGGGAAAATACTGGGTTTTGGGGGGAAGTGATGATAAATGTTTGAGTGTTCAATTTTCTACCTTAAAATGACTACTTTTCCCCTTTTGCTCCTCCTCCTCCTCCCTCCACCCCTTGATTTAAGATGGCTAAAACTTTTATATGGATTTGTTCTCTGTTTGTCTCTTTTCTGACTATGGAAACATGATTTGTTAGATGTGGGGTCAGAATTTTAGTAAACTAATTAAGCAATAAACAAGAAATGAAATGTGAAACATCTCTGTTTTAACATGTCAACTAAAACAGGACTGATGGTCACTGATGCATATGTGGCTGGAAGGAATCAAGGAAATACAAACAATATGAAGAAGTGTTTGGAGTTTTTTTGTTTTTCAAAAGCCAATTTAATTTTCTTTAATGACTTTGTATGAAATTTATCAGCGTCTTTTGAATTCACTGTAGAACATGTCCAGCAATTACCTTCTTTTAAGCTGTGGATGAATATTACCAGTTTGTTCTTGTAATTGCTGAGTATTTTAGTTAAGGAAAAAATGGTTTTGAAGTCATTAGCACAATACTTTTTTTAAAGTCAGCATGTTCTGACTGATAAATTTCTATAAAGGTGATGCTTGGGAGAAGTCACCTTCCAATAGCTAAAGCTTTGCTAGACATCAAATGCATTCTTTAATTTTTCTCTCCAGCAATGTCTTGCAAAAGCTGAAGGCTTCTTGGAAGAAAAGTGTGGCATTGCAGTACTGCACTAGAATGCTTTTCTCTCTGCCAGGGATATTCTGATGTTGTTCCAGAGAGCAGAGGGGACTAATTAGAAAATCACTTCAGGAGCTCAGATCCTGCACTTGAAAAGGGGTTCATCAGATGTCAGGGAACAGAAGAGCATCTCAATGTATTTGAAATAGCATTTGCTGCTCAAGAGCATTTAGTTATTTCCAACCAGTACATAGAGTGGCACTTGACTTTCTCCAGTCTCTCTCCCCACCCCTTGATTATCTATCACATGTAAATAAGAAATTAATATGCTTTTAACTAATATTGATGCTGTAGAGCTTTTTGAATGACAGAGAATATATGCACAAAGAACACTCAGGCATTGGAATGGGCTACCCAGAGAGGTGATACAGTGTCCACTCCTGGAGGCTTTCTAGACAAGAATTTAAAAACGCTTGAACACTTTGGTCTGACTGCTTGCTCAGAAGGTTGAGCTCGAGACCTTCTGAAGGCCCTTCTGGCCTGAATTATTCTGTGAATCTGTGATATTTCTTTAAATGACGGTGTCCCTGTCTTTATATCCAGTATTAGAAATAAGTGTGTGTTTTGTTTTGTTTTTTTCACCCTGAATCTTTCTACTACAGATGATTGGCAATTCTCTGTTTTTAAAATTGAGTTGAAAATGTAATTGTCCTTTCTGCTTTCTAGACTTTGACATTTTTAATAAGGAAGTATGTTATGTATTTTTAAATTAGAATCATGTCAATACAATTCTTGCCTTGAATTGTCTTGAATTATTTGCTGTTGAGTCTGTCCAGGAAAGAACTGTATCTGTCCATGGGAATATAAGGGAGGATAGGATGAACTTACTCCCATTGCCCTTCTTGGACTGTTTCCCTATATGAGCAGTGTTGTTCATGACAAGTCATAGTCTTCACCAGACTACTTCTGCATTGATAGGTACCAGTGTAAATGCCATGTATAATAGGAAAAGTAATCAACTTGAGAAATTTGGCTTATAAAGTGAAATAGAAGCTGAAGTTATCTACATTAGACTGATTGATGAGAAGGGGAAATCCTAATATTGAACTAACATGTTACAATATAAATAGTTCTAAGTAGGTTATGGCTAGGCTACTTTTCTTTTGGTGTGGGAGCAGGAACAGCAGTTCCAGTTACTTGTGCTTAGCATTATTAGGGTGCTTTGTTAGAGGAAAACCTGATGTCTCAAGGCAGGCTACAGTTTCTCATCCTTGGAATAAATGGTGTAAATTCTGATGTTTTTCTTAGGAAGTCAGAAAACTAAGTGTTTGTGGCGGGAATACAGAACAGAAAAATACAATTGTCTGATGCGCAGATAAAGAATTTGAAATGAGCAGTCATCATTTCTATTCATCCTAGAATAGCAGCCTATGCCAAAGCTAGGAATTAGAGTACTTAACAACAATTTGTTTCGTATGACCTTCAGGAAATCAGTTAGATCTGTGCCTCTCTTCTTATATGTATCTAAGGGAGGGTTGAACAATGATAAATCACTCCTTTCTAGTTAAGTTAAATAACCTTAGTGCTATGAGTATATGAATGTTTGATGTTTTGGGGTGGGTTTTTTGATTAGGTACGCTACAGAATTTTTTTGTTTTAAAAGTGATATTTTATTATTTGCTGACTATGTATAATTTATTTTAACATAAATAGGACATATCAGAATTTCAGATCTTGGATTAGCTGTGCAGATTCCAGAAGGAGAAACAGTCCGAGGACGGGTTGGGACTGTTGGTTACATGGGTATGTAAAGTATCCTTTGCTAGTTCTGTTTTATCAGAAAATTTGCTTCTGTGAATATATGAATGACTTGTCCAAAGAACAGTATTTGGTCTGGATTAGTTACTAGACATTTTATGGGAAGAAAGGTTATGCAGTAGTAGATGTTAGTAGTCAATTATAAACCTACTGATAAACTTGAAAACTTGAACTGTGGAAATTCTAGCTTCAGGTAGAACCTTAAGAAAGCACCTAATTTCTTTCTGAGGCTCAGAGAGATTTAGGGTCGCCAGTAAGCAGAGGAGTTACTATGACAACACAGTTCTTTCCATGCTTTGGAAAAACTTCATTCTTAGTTTGTAAACAATACTGATCTTAAGCTTAAAGAATTTTAAGTGCTTCTCTTGGGGATAAACAGTGTCCTCACTATAGAAATTAACGTTTCTTCAAAGGAGTTTGCAAAGATCTGTGTGTAGAGCCAAAAGAGTGTCTGAGAGTTTTTTCAATATTTAATTAGTTAATTTAAGTGTTAATTTAAAGTCATGGGGGGTTCTTTGTTTTTGTTTTGTAGCTCCAGAAGTGCTCAAAAATGAAAAGTATACATTCAGTCCGGATTGGTGGGGTCTTGGGTGCTTGATTTATGAAATGATTGAAGGACAGTCTCCATTCAGGAAGCATAAGGAAAGGGTCAAACGGGATGAGATTGACCGGAGAGTAAAGGAAGACCAGGAAACATATTCAGACAAGTTCTCAGAGGAGGCAAAATCCATCTGCAGGATGGTGGGTGAAGAGACATAGAGGTTTGAAAATTAAATTTCTAATCCTTTTTGAGAGATGAACTACTTTATTTTAACATCTTCTATTGAAAATTTTTCAAAGCTGGAGTTCTTGTATCTTTCTTTGGTTCAGATGGAAGTTCATGATTGTCCATGAATTGTTCAACCAAACTGTGAGAATTCAGAACTTTTTCCAAGAGGAAGGAAGGCTGCATAAATTGATTTTTCATCATGTGAATGAAAAGGTCCAGTACACCTCGGACCACATGTAATTGTAGACAGAGCGCATGCTCAACTTTGATACTGTATAGGGAGAAGTGGCACAGAAGTAAGCCAGTTTCCTTGCCTAAAAGAGTCTGTACAAGACAACAGCTTTTTTTTTATTTTGCATGTTCTTAAATTTAGTAAGAAGTACGACTATACAGGAAGCTTCAGAAGTTTTCTTTACTAGTTTATGCAAAATATGTGCATTACTTAAGCTCATTGGAAAAAAGTAAGCTGTATTTCCTGAAAGTCTGCTGCAAAGTCTGTACTGTAAAATCTATTTAGCATGGCATCAATTAAAATATTTTCATATAACTTTGGGTATAATTTTTAACTGGTCTACGTTCAGGGATTCTTTTGTCTACTGAAAATCTTTTTGCTCCCAGAATGTTTTAGTTTGGATTTCCAGTTCATTTTTATCCAATGATAAATTTCATCTAATGAAAGGCCAAGTTAACAATGTAAATTTATTGGAAGACATTGTATATAGATTTTATTTTTTTTTTAATTGTGGGATTACATCACTGGATCAGCCTTTTTTTCCATATCTTTGCAGTTACTTGCTAAAAATCCAGGGGAACGACTGGGTTGCACCGAAGATGGAGCTGCTATTGTAAAGCAACATCCTATATTCAAGAATATTAACTTCAAGAGGCTGGAAGCTAACATGTTAGAACCTCCGTTCTTGCCAGATGTAAGTAGGTGAGACAGATTTGATTAGTATCTAAAAAGGCAAGAACTGTCATAATTCTGTGTCAACAATCATGTGAACTCCAGAGAAACCTTTAAAGTTACTTAAATTGGCCGGAGAATACCATTGTAGCTCTTGATGGCTAGTTGTTTTGTGGCATTTCATCTGAGATCACAAAACAATTTACAACAGTGGTATTGCTCTAGGGAGCTTTGTAGCTGGTTTCTTAGCCCTTTAAAAGTCTGCTTCCCCAGCTCAGATGCTGAAGAAATGAAGATTAGCTTTGAAGAAATTACTCTGGAGTTGAAAGGAAGGTGACAGACAATGAGTGAATTATGACAACCATTAAGAAATCCAGAGAAGTTGCATGCTGTTTCTGGTTTTGATATTTCTTTTCTGTTACTTGCAGGGTGGATGGAATTGCTCAGGTGACTTATGACGAGAGTCTTTTAAGTTTTTGCATTTCTGTTTTGTAGTATAATGTAATTTGGTGATCAGCAATGTGAAATATAAAGTTGCAGACATTTCACTCCCCCTTTGCTTGTCTAGAAAAGAAAACACACACCCCCACACCCCCCACACACACAGTCAAACCCCAAAACCTTAATGAAGCAATCTTGTATTGTACTGCAGCCACGTGCCGTATATTGTAAAGATGTCCTGGACATAGAGCAGTTCTCAACAGTAAAAGGAGTGAACCTGGATACTACAGATGATGACTTCTATTCCAAATTTGTTACGGGTTGTGTCTCAATCCCTTGGCAAAATGAGGTATTGTATATTTCACAAAAGATTATTTTCTTTAGCACAGCAGTATAGAAGATAGGGATATAATTATAGTATTAATTTTCTCTGTGAGATGTAAAGAAGTTTCTGCTTTAGACTTCTTTGTTGAGATACTTCAGAAAAAAGTTTTCCCAAAATGTAAACAACTTGCTAAAAATTGAGATCTATGGTAAATTTGCATAAACAGAATCTGGCATCTTATCATAGATACGGCCTACAGAACAGTATTTTGCATCAGCATGACCACATTTTCCTTGTTGTTCTATCAAATGTTATTCGATATTTTTGTTCATAGGAGAAGGATAGAATGGTATTCAAAGTATTCAAAAGCAAATAGGCGCAGTGCGAGCTGTTTGTGTATCATGCCTGTATATCAATAGAGGATCCAAGTGACATAGTAGTACAGAACTGCAGATTCACCTTTTCTAAGGTTTCAAAACAAAAAGTTCAACGTTGGTTGAGTCAGAACTTCTCTTAAAGCTTTTTCATTTGCCTAGTGGATAAGTATTCTAGTATTCTGCATAGAATACTAGAATTTTGCTATCTGTGCATACAGTTCAGTCTGTATTTAGGAAATTCAAACCTTCTTTATTATTTCAGGAAGAGCACTCAGTAACAATTATTTAGAATTGTAGTTCTTGTTATGAATGCATTCCCCCTATTACAAGATGTTCACAACATTCTGAAATTAGTATTGTCTTGAATTCTACTAGTGTAGTTTCTTTCCCAGTATGATTTTTACATTTTATTTAAAGCTTGAACACAAAAGATGAGCAATTTCTGAACAAGTCAGAGAAAAAAGTACATTCTCTTTTGTTTCCCTTTTGCCTTTTTTTTTTTTTTTTTGCATTTCATTAAGGAAGAGATTTGAGAGGTGTTATTTGGCATACAAAGTTTTCACTAAGAAGCAAAGAACCTTAGGCTGTTAGAGAAATAAATATTTCCTATGCCACGTTGTAATTCTGAACTTCCTAACATGGTCCAGTCATTAAGAAATGCACTGCAGCTTAATGGCTCTAACCCCACAGTTGAAAGTGGTTGTGGAATTCTGGTGATGGTAATTCCTTCTCTTCAAGGAATAACTGTACAGACTTCATTTTACATCTGTGCTTATTTTTCATTTAATTCGTGTTACTGAGCTTTCCCTCAAATCTTTGCTTTCAGTCTCTTAAGAATTCCTCCTCCCCTCCCATATTTTACCTAATGTCATGGTTTACAACAAAAGCAGACTGCATTTCTTCTTATTCCTCTTTATGCCCTCTCTCCCTCTACAAGGTATACTCATTTGGTTGCATGCCCATTATGATAGATGTGTATCAGTGGCACTCACAGATAAATGCCAACTACATATGGGCATTAGTCACTCTCCACCTTCTGACCATGCCTGTTTGTTACATTTTGGCATTTACTCTTTCTGATGTCCTTTCTGCACCTGGTAATTGTATTTTTAATTCTTTTGTTTTCTGTGTACACAAACATGGATTATTTCAAAATCCCTTGCTTCTTTCCAGAGACCTGTCTTCATTATATGTTTTGGTTTGGTTTTTTTTCATGAACTATTGCCTTCTCTATCTCATTGCCTTATTTTTAATTATGGTATATGTTGTGTTTTGATAGACAGTTGCCCAAAACACCAGAATGATGTTTAAATTACTGTGGTCAGACATCAGCTGCTTTTTCCCCAAGAGTGCAATTCATCCCCTGTGTAAAAAGTATCCCCTCTAATACTATGCAGGTACTAATATTCTGCATAGAATAATCATTTCTCCTACTCAATGTCATGTTTATTAATGAAGTTCAGGGTATAGAGATACTGTATTTGTTAGGCTAGACTGCTCTGAAATGAACAGAATAAATGAAAGGAAAATCCATTTCTGGTTCTAAAAACTTCTGCTTATTCCATCATGGGCAGAAGAAATGACTTGACAAAGCAAGGGAGCATCTGAGCACTTACCTGCATGATAGTGCTCTCATTGCTATTCTTTAGTTCACTGGATGCACAGGAGAGTTAATGTAGACTTTGTGCCTTCCTTCATGGAGCTCTGTGAGTGGTGTCATTTGGCTGATGAATTTGTAAGTTATTAGGAGTACCCAGCCAAAGTAGATAGATAACACATGGAGCAAGCTTGAGAAGCTTGTATGGTTATTTAATTTATGTTTCCTATGTTTCAAAGATGATTGAAACAGGATGCTTTGAAGATATCAATGCATATGAAGCTGATGGTACTGTGTCACCAGAGAGAGAGAGGTCTCCTAAACCAAAGAGAGGTTTCTTTCACAGACTTTTTAGTGGAGAGGTAAGGGTATTTTTTTTTTTTTTTAATAAGAAAATTACCAGTAAGACTTTAACATCCATTCAAATTTTTTTATTATTTTGTGATAGGAAAAACAGGTTGTTTGCTGAATACTGAAATCTGGTTTATTATGGCTTTGCTCCTGCACTGCATTTCAGATACTGTAGTGATCCCTATAACTCCAGGAGTTTTTTCCTCCCTCAGCATTCTGTCTTCCTCCAGTGTCTGCTAGCTGTTACCTGGGTGTGCTGTTAACAGCTGTGCTGTAGATCTTTCTTTCCTGAAGATATTAATTTGGGCCTTGGTCCTTACATGTTTTGCTAGTGTTTGTGAAAACTTCTGGGGAGATGACATCAGAGATAATTGAGGCCCCCTCTGTAAAAACTTAAATAAAATTTACTAATGAACTCAGGAGTGTGGTGGAGCAATGCAACTCCTAGGACTAGCTCCTTTAGAAAGTTGGGTTCCCAATGAATCATTCTAGTGTATTAAGCAAGTAAGTAAAAATATCCCCTAAAAGAGTGTGTGAAGAAGTGTCACGAAACAAATGTTAAAATATCTTAGGAAGTTTAATGCATTTACCAGAACAACAACATAATATATGTTTACATAGCTTCTGATAATGCACAGTCTTTTCTTAAACACATAACTCCTACTATTTAGTAAACATTTAGAGGTCTATGAATTGAGTATTTACCACCTAAAAGACACGTGGGATATTCTGCTTGTTTATAAGTCACGAGAAATAGGCTATTTGTAAAAATTTTCACTTGAAGATGTTGTACACAATTGTGCTTGCTCAGTATGCCTTCACTTAGAGTGGAATTATCTTGAGAAGCATGAGTGTATTCCAGTAGAGAACACTTCTGTAGAAATTACTTTTGCTTTCAAGCAGAAATGGAATTTTAAAATTGCTATGAGTGTATCATTAAGTAGCCACAACAAACCCATGTATTAAAATTGCATGATGATATTTTTTTGTCATCAGCTGGTAATTCACCTCTCTAAAATGGTACCATGTTAATGGGACGTATAGTAGTACTGTCATTTTTAGTTCACCTTTTCAAATTCACTTTTCTCCCACTTACAGTAATGGAATAGAAGGAATGGTTAAGTGTAGCAATAATCACACATAGCTAAAGTTAAAGCTTGTGCCTTACTGTAGTCTTTTCAAGCTGAATCAGCAGGGTTCATACTGTCCCAAGATACGGTTCTATGTATTGAGAAAGAGTCCTAAAAAAAATAATATGGCTTGAGAGCCTTCAGTTGGTTTTGACGTAATAAGACTACAGTTAATTGTCCTGTAAAGTTAAAAGAAGGAAAGATCTTAAGGTTAAATGAAACTTAATGACTTGAGATTTGAGGTTGAGTTGTGGTTTCCTTTGATATTCCCAAAGCATTTAGTTAGTATGGAGTAAAATGCACTGGAAAAAGAGCCACCCCCACCCCCCCCCAGCCTTTCTGCGCCCCATAAAACACACAAACTGACAATACTGTCAGTTCTGCAGCTCAGTTGTCTCTTTGTCTTCTCTTGCAGGTCTGCTTTAAATCTGATTGCAGTGATGATGAGCAGGAGTCCTCCAGACTTTAAATCATTTTACTCTCATCAGAAAGGATGAGCAAACTTTAAATGTTTTATATCTCTGTAGCAAAGTGTATTATATATATTTTTTATCTGAGTTCAAGGATTTTTGTACATTTGTACTTCATTTGTTTTAAGATGTATATTTTCACTAAAGCTTAATTGTACAAAAAGCAATGAGTGCCATTTGAGTGAGTGTGTGTCTGTATTTGATTTACCTTGATTTTTTTTTTCCAGTGGAACGAGTCTAGAAATACTAAAAGGATTTTAAAGCACAGAGATAATATCTATGGCATCAATGTAACTTGATGTTGTATGCTCCTGGTAAAAGTCTTCTTGTTCGTTAGGATCTTTATTAGCAGTTTTCTCAACAGTAAAATTACTGTATTGATAAATTTCGTAATTCTGGTATTATCCAGCAGCATGGCAGTGCTATTACCTAATATATCTCTCAAGCAGCTGCTAAGGAAAAAGGAATTCAGTGCACTGTGGCCAGCTATTATGAATTGCTCTTTACTCTCTGGCTTTGTAGAATGTCCTTCTGTATTTCTATATATAGAGAATTCTGAACATTTAGCTTAATCCTGTAACAAACTGTATTACCCCATTCTTCTCCTTTCTACCCATCTTACACATCCTCTCCATACAGCTTCTTGGCATGGACCATGCAAGTAGACCTATGCCAAAGTTTTATAACTGTATTTTGAATACTTTGTTGTCTTTACTAAAAGGATTTCTTTTTACCTGTGGGGACATCTGTTTATTTTTTTTCTGTAAATGAAAATATTTACAACTCCATGTAGGATGTTACAGTTTTATAATGGGTTAAAAAACAAAGCATGGACTCTTCTTACTAACCTCCTCTGTGCTTATTATGTTGTAATATGCAATGTTGTAGGGTTGACAGCACTCACTGCCACTGAGGGAAGGACAAGGTAGTATTAAGTATCAAATTCACTTATGTAAATAATCTTTCCTTATAACCTTTAAAAACTTAAACATTAAAACCTGCCTTTAATGATTTCTGGATGCAGATGTGGAGCTGGTATTGAGGTTTTAGTTACTATTACCTGATGTTCATTAGTAAAACTAATTCCAGATGCTTGAAAGCTTGTCAAACTTCCGTTCTTCTGGACTTAAAGTATGCCAGACTTTCTTTTTATTTTGTAAAGTTTCCAGTAAAACTATTAATATGTGTATGAGAATGAATTTAGAGAACACATTTCATTAAACGCCTCCTCTCCTGTTTTCAGAATTTGTTAGGGACTTGAAATATAAAGAACGCTTTTTGAGTTGGAGGCATGACTTTTGTTACATATTTTGTTCTGTATTCTGAAGACTCATCTCCACTCAGCATGCATTTTTTTTCCTCTCAAATCTCTAGGGTGCCAACCAGACCACACATGTATTATACACACAGAGCAACTCAATATCCCTCTACCTCAGATAGGTTTCTGCTTGTGATCTGCAGACCCAGTGGAAGAAACTTAAGCTGCTTCTGAGAAACTCCCAAGATACATTTGATACTCAAGCTTATTGTCAGGTTTTAATTCAAAGTATTTTGTCCCTAGTGGCAAATGTTTTAATGGGTTAGAATTTGAAAAAAGTTGGAAAACCAGTGTGTTACAAAATCCTACTGGGGCTGAGCTGGTTTCTATCTGAAATTGTTCCTCTTGGCTACTGTGCCACATAAATGAGAAATGAGACTCTTCCTATGTTTCCAGCGCTTTTTTCCTGATGTCTGAAACAGCACAGAGGACAGCAAAATGACTGCCATAGAAAGTACAAAGGGAGAAATTGGCAAGGAGAAAGTTTGAATGAATTACTGGAGGACAGTCTGATGCAATAGTGAAGGGATGGGAGGCTTGACAGAGAAATAGCTGAAGTAGGGGTGTTGGCTGGAACTACTATGTGTGAGACAATGAGCTGGCATGGTCTGACCTGACCCTCTTTATTATATACCACAATAACAGAGGGACTCCAAAAAGATGGGAACGGAGAAATAGTGACGTTACAGAAGTGTTTTATAAATACCTACCTGGTTGGAGAAGTGATCATGTTTCTCTGAGTAAGGGGGTTAATATGAGGTGACAGTCTGGATTTAATGCCTGCTTAGAGCAACTTGAAATTTGGGTAAGAATACCATGGACGCAAGTTGAGTCATTTTTATGAAGAAAATACAGGAATTGGCTTTAACAAATAAAAAAAAATATCTGAAAGTCTATTTATCATGTATTTAAAATTTTCTCTCCATATTGGAGGAGGAGGGATCTTAACTTAAAATAAAATCAACTTTTCTGTTTTGGAGTGCTGAGACTTAACACTTATTCTCCAGAGATCTGCAAAGAGAAAAGGCTAGATGAAGAGAAAAGGGAAGTTGTTCCTAAGAAGTGGTTATTTATACATCAGCTTCTTTGGACAAGGAACTCCAACCATCCAAAGAAGTGGAGGATTTGTTTGGTTTTATGAAGCTTTATTTGGTTTCATTTCACAAGTTTTTTCTTATATTCTGAATAATACCGTTGAATTGTTTTTGAGTAACTACATCTTTGCAGGGTTAGGACCTAAATTCTGTTGGTTTGTGGTTTTTTGTTTGTTTGTTCCCCAATAGGCTCAGGACAGCATTTTTCTACTATAAATTTGTCCCTTTTGGCTAGAAATACAACCACATAATAATGACAAATGTGAATCCCCTAATGAATTAGAAAAGACAAGAAATGGGAAGGATCAGCATAACTCTCCTTATATGGTACATGGAGATTAGGATGTTATGCTGTTTAATCTAAGGTGACTAGCATTGGTTGAATGTCTTTACTGGAGTATTAGTAGCTTGGAGACGCATTTCGAAAGTGGGGAAAGGGTAAGGAGAGGGGAGAGCACCTGAAAGCAGAATATTGTGGTATGATAATACGAACTTTGCTCTCGATTTTTGTAGGGGACAACTGAGACAAAGAAAGGGAAGGCAGCACATTCTGTATACTGATTGCGTAGCCTTTTATTTCCATGAAGCTGTTCTTAAAAAAAAAAAAAAAGCCAACGTAAATTCTTGTGATTCAGTATGACTTCATTATACCTCCATGAATTCAGATTTCTAGATCCGTGTGTTAGAAGGCTTTAATAGCAGTGAGACATTCCAACAACCTGTCTGCTTTGTTCTGCTGGTGCAAGATACAGAAAGATCTATAGAATTCCATGGAGTTGCTTGCATGAGATCAACCCTCCTCTTCTGTGGCTTGTGTTTCCAAGCGTTTGTGTATGTAAGTCTTAATATCTGCTTATGCATACCTCATGAATCTATATATTTAGCTCAAAATTCAAAAACTGTGAAACAATGTACTAGTATCTAACTGGTTTACTTAATGCTTTTGAATGTGTGACCAACAGAATAGAATCTTCATGCCTCAGGGTTGTTCTCTTTCCGTAAAAAAAAAAAATGTCAGGTTGTTTTTTTTTTTTCCCCCAGAGTTGTAGTGTTCATAATAGAGGTGGTATTATGTTTCTGGACTATAACAACAACAAAACAGTCTCAGTTGAAAAAATAAACACTTTAATTAATTACTTTCTAATAATAAATAGGAAAAAACCTGTGGTATTTCCATAACAGAGAGAGCACTATTGACAAATCTTAGCCTTTAATAGAAGATGTGGTATGTCTTTTTTTCCCCAAATCATTCTTAAAACAATAGATATGAAGATTTTTGATAGTGAAAGAGAATTATGTCCATCTCAGAATAAAATTATGTCTAATTCGAGAAAACAATGATGGGGCTATTAAAAACAACTAAAAATCCATATTTAGAAAGCAATTCAATTACTTCTCAAACAATACTGATGTAAGAGATTTCTTGTTGCCATTTGTACAAAGAATACTTGTTTACACAGGTTACTAAAATAAGTCAACAAGTTATATTATTTCGCTTTGTTTACAATTTAGTATTACACTAATTTGCCATTGGAATTATCACCTTCGCTTTGGCATAGATTTTCAGAAAATACTTCTCTTTAGGAAGTACTCAAAAAAGGGAATTAAAATTAAAAAATTCATGGAAAGCATCTTTAAGCTAAATTTATGTTTTTGATTTGAATCACCTGCCTGGCTCCTTTTGGTGATGATGATGCCTCTTCTGCTGAACGTACAATTCTTTTTTATTTCATAACTGTTCTTATAGTGTAACTTCAGCTTTGTACATGAGATGTAGGTAACTTTTCTCATGTTCCACATGTGTCCAAAGCACCAGAATTATTTTCCAGTATACCAAAGCTGACTGTTAATGTGATGTGTTAGTTCCAGTATCTCCAAACCACTGAACTATTCCTGTATGAGCTGTTTTCCTGGATGTTCTAGCATTGTTATTCCTGAAATAAAAGCAAAACACTGCCGCATCTCTCAGCCACATGTATTACTGTCTAATGTGATTTATTTACCATGTCTATCATGGTAGCCAGGATAGATAAAAGAAAAATTGAAATTCACAATTTGTTGAAGCAGAAAATGTGTATTACATGCTGGAAGTGGTCGGATCCAGGAAAAAGTGCCCTAGGCTTGCTGTATTTGCTCAACTGATACCTTATCTCATGGTCTGAATCTTGATTTCTACATAAATTTCTGTGTGAAAAGACAGAATTATCGGGATGGGCTGTTTTTCATTGACACATTTACTGTGGTAACACTACGAATGTGGATGCAAAATTGGTCAGTGGTAGCTGTAGCTCTACTTGTCAGCTGCCTTATCGCGCGTACTGGATTTTCTACTATTTCCAGAGGAAACTCACCAGACTTGACTCTCCTCGAGAGAATTTATACCTTCATATTAGTTGGATTTGTGGGTTTTTGTATCAAATACTTTTCAACAGTAGGCTGCTTGCATTTTCAATAGTGTGCCCTGTTTATGCAGAGGCTTTCAGTGTAATTTCATGACATGAGTTGAAGGGCTAAGCACTCAATTACTATACAAACCAGCTTCAAATTAAGTGACTTTAACAATGATATAACCATGCTATGCCATATTGCAGATTATCTGTGCATGTGTTGAACCACATTGGCCAGCAGTCTTACGAAGTCTTATTGGATTGAGTAGTACCAATTACCTGCTGAATTGTTTGTGGAAATGCAGAAGTGCTGGCCTAAGGGTGACTTTGGGACAGGGCGAAAAAAACTCTTGATATGCTTGTCCAAACTGTTCTTAAAAACATGAAATCAAGGGGTAACCTGTGCCTAGGTAGCCTGTGTTTAGGAAACCTTTCCACGTTCACGATGTTCATGTCTGCCTCATAGACAAGGTAAAAGTATGTTTCTTCTTTTTTTTCTCCTGGAGGTTGAGATGAATTCATCATCGTGCATTAAATTACATATAACCTTTCAAGTATTCACTGTTACTCCATTGAGATTGTGGGTTTATTTTTCTTTGTGGTAACGATGGCTTTACAAAAATGTCTGTTCTCTAACCCTGCCTGCTTGCTCTTGCCCCGTGCCAGTTTTACATCACTTTATTTTTGCCAGTGCAGCTGTTTTGTGGGGCTGCTATTTGAACAGGATGGGTGACATGGATAGGTGACACGCAAAACCGTGGATCAGTAAATTTGAATTGGGAGAATCTACTTGCCAGAGAAAAGCCTGGTACCCCTGAGTTCTCCTCCAGTTCCCCAGAGGGCCGTGCTGCCAGCACAATTCGGAAAGAGGAGGAGAACAGAGAGGAGCGTGCTTGTGGGCAGGGTCTGCCTTGGCATTGTTGCCGGTGAGTCAGCAGCCCTTGGGCGACTGGCGCACGTGTTGATCTAAAGCCTCAAAACAGTTTTGCAAAGACAGACTTGGTTGGTGGCTTGTTTCATCTTTGGTAAGAGCTTCTGCTCTTTTTAATGTGCTTTACATTTATTTCAAAGTGCAGAGTGGCACATGCAATCATTGCATAGTGCATCCAGCATTCCAGCTATGCTGTTGTCTTTTTTCATGTATCATTTGCTAAATAAAAAATTCATGATCATCCATATGTTCCAGAGAAAACTCTCTGCACGCTTTATCATAAATAATTGGGAAAAACATTCTTTTTACCTTAAAAGCTCACTTTCAGTTACACATTTATAATGAAATAGGGGTTTTGCTGTAAGTTGAATTGCTTTCAGTACTGTAGCTCGGTTTACATTCAGAGGAATGTTTTCAAAGGGTTCATCTTTTATTAGCATGCTAGTAAATTTAACTGGCAGAGCACTGTTTTACTGAACATTTGGCAAGAATGTGATCAGTAAGGTGGTTCTGTCACGGCTTGCGTTGCCCTGAATATCCAAAGACACGAACTTCGCTTCTTGTGTCCATCCCCGCCAGCAATGGCCAAGTTGCACATTAAGTCACCGCTGGGAATTTCTTTTCTTCAAAGTTCCAAGAGATGTTCTCCATTCCCATTGCTGGAACCAATTTAATGCGTTTTGAGATACAAGTTCTATTGCCAGTTCCTATCGGCTGTCATTTGAAGTGCGTAATTGCTTGTAATTGGACAGTTCACGGTAGCGTTGGGTTTTTTTTTTTATTAAGTGCTTAGTAATAGGATCGATGGTTTAAATATTGTATACTCTCTCGTACGCTTAATGGGGCTGTAAGCGTGCAGAAAGTTTCCACGGGTAGAGCCAACCCCCGCACGGCGAGCGGGCGGGCGG